TTCACTTCATTCGCCGTAAATCACAGCAAGAACTCTTCGTTCCAAGCCGATGCAGACCACTAGCTTTAGATTGTTTTGATGGCTCTTGGCTCATACCCAGCAAAAACCTTCACGAATGCTCGAATGCATCATTCTTTGTTCTTAAAAGTCTTTTGCCAACTTAACAAGGTTTGTCAAATTAGAAGATTTTATTCATAGGTCTCGAACTGCTATAAAAGGCTGATATATCTGCTTCATTATTCCTCCACAGTGATGCTCCTTGTGCAGCGCATATTCTAAATCTAATATAGTTTGTTTGTTTGCAATTACAGTTCAATGTAAAGAAATGCAAAATAATCAATAAAAACGGGCCAGTTAATTATAAGTACATGCTTTCATCATCATACATTCTCCAGTACCATCACGTTCACTAACATCTCCACGCCTTTTTTAACTTTATCTTGCAGGTTTGGACTTGACACGTAAGAGACGCTATGCTAGCTTTGATCGTCAGTATGATTTTAAGCCTGACTTTAGGTAANACTAAAGACTGATTAACTTTTCATTATTCTTCAATCTCAGCTCGTTAGAATTCACTTCATTCGCCGTAAATCACAGCAAGAACTCTTCGTTCCAAGCCGATGCAGACCACTAGCTTTAGATTGTTTTGATGGCTCTTGGCTCATACCCAGCAAAAACCTTCACGAATGCTCGAATGCATCATTCTTTGTTCTTAAAAGTCTTTTGCCAACTTAACAAGGTTTGTCAAATTAGAAGATTATTCATAGGTCTCGAACTGCTATAAAAGGCTAATATATCTGCTTCATTATTCCTCCACAGTTATGCTCCTTGTGTAGTGCATATTCTAAATCTAATATAGTTTGTTCGCTTGCAATTACAGTTCAGTGTAAAGAAATGCAAAATAATCAATAAAAAAGGCCAGTTAATAATAAGTCCGTGCTTTCCTCATCATACATTCTCCAGTACCATGACGTTCACTAACATCTCCACGCCTTTTTTAACTTTATCTTGCAGGTTTGGACTTGACACGTAAGAGACGCTATGCTAGCTTTGATCGTCAGTATGATTTTAAGCCTGACTTTAGGTAAGAAATGCATATAGGAATATTTCATTGTTTTATGACGAGTGCTAGAGGAACCACACGCTATGAGTAATGTTCTTGACTGATTTAATTTCTCCTCAGTCTGATAACCTGAAACTTCGAGAGAGTCCAAACGAGTTACTTCAATTATGATTCACCGACGACACTACCGTCTTGAAGACATGGATGGGGAGCAACGACGACGGCGACGCCGAGGACGACTCCTTGTCAAAAATGAATTTGTGTTTTACCAGCAAAATTCGAAATTGTCTTGTTCAATACACCAATGGCTCTAGAAACGTGCTCCAGCTAAACATTCAATGACAGTGTTCAAATTCAAATGGAAATACGAAAAATTAGCCTTCGACGTTCGCGTTCCTCGGACTTCGCAGAACTTTAAACTACGTCATTTAACGTTGTTGTTTTGCAGAGGACGGCGAAGATTTAGAAAAAGGCCAAAACTGTCTTCTGTTAAGGAACTCAAGTATGCAGAGACCGAAAACGCGACTGCACCACATTGCTAAACGCGCGAGCATGCAAATTAACAGGAAGAAATGATATAGGCGCGAAACTTCAACCCTTTCTTTGACTAAATCGTGTGAGATCCAGGCGTAAAACACGCGCGTGGAAGTGTTGTGCAGGGTTACACCTGCTAGTGTTAAGGATTATAAGGACGACGAGACCGAAAATGCAAGTGTGCCGCATCGTTATTTGCGCGACAATTTATTAAAAGGGAGAAAACTGATATAGCTTAGAATATTTTTGATAAGGAAGCGTGAAGAAAGGAAAAAAGATAACGTTCGAAAATTTCCAACCCTTATTTCTCACGCGTGGTCTAGGGCAGGTTCTAAATCTGCATCTTTTAAAAAATCTTTACGCCCTCCATGGGATTCTTGGACAGAGAAAAACAGCAGAAATGTATCAAAGAAGAACAGAAAAAGAATGTCATCTTCCAAATGAACGTTAAATATCCGCTAAACGTGGCTGGGAATGCAAAATCAGAAAACAGGGGAAATCAGCTCATTCAGGTCTCAAAGGTCGCGAGACCTAAAGCGCGACTCGGTCACATAGCTTAACACGCGAGGAAGCGTGAGGAGAGGAAAAACGATAACATTTGAAATTCTTCATTCCACATTCTGTGTAGATCGGGAGAGAATAACGCGTGAAACACTCGCGTGAACGTCTAAAGAAGGTGCTAAACCTGCATCTTCTAAAAAATCTTCAAGCTCTTCATGGGATTCCTGGACAGAGAAAAACGGCAAAAATGTATCAGAAAAAGAAAAAGAATGTCATGTTGTAAAGGATGGTGAAATAGGCGCTAAACGTGGCTGGGAAGTTAAAATCTGACAACAGGGGAAATCAGCTCATTCAGGTCTTAGAGATCACGAGACCTGAAACCCGCCTGGGTCGTATAGCTCAATGCCCGAGGAACCGCGATGAGAGGAAAAAAGATAACGTTCGAAAATCTCCAACCCACATTCTGTGTAAATGGAGAGAGTATCACGCGTGAAACACATTCGCGGACGTCTAAGGGAGGTCCAAAACCTGTACCTAAAAGAGCTTTAAGCCTT